TAACGTGTTCCAGTAAAATCTACACTTTATTTTGTTCTTGATAAATACTTTGACAATATTCTCCTCTTTTGATACCTTTAAATCAATAATCTTACTGAAACACGTCACATTACAGCAAGTTAATGTGTGCATCATAAAAACTGATTAGATTCTTATTTCCAACGCAACAATAACGGGTATAGAAATGTGATTTCCAAAATGTTCATTCAATTTTGAATTTCACATTCCCTTATCACATATTGGACCCCAGTGTATTTCAACAGCAACATGTAAAAACTAAATAATATTAAAAAATATTTTTGTTTCTCTCTGTTCTAGTTATATGTCGTCAGATGTCTTGAGGTTGGTACTAAAATCTGGCTCTAAAAGTACTATTATTATCTTCAAACTAGGTCCCTCGTTAAGTAGGCAAGCAGCCAACCGCCAAAGATCTCTAAATTGTCTAACTACCACCACATCTACATACATCTCATACAAGCGATAATATCTCTCTTACACCAATATCTTCTTACTCAAATACAAGTTATGATTATTCTACAAATTGTCTTCTATCAAAATCGTGTCTTCGATCCCCAACCTCAAGACGTCCGCCAACCAACAGTGGGGTTTCACAAAACAATCTTACACTAAGGATAAACAAAAATCCTTTTCAAGGATAACAAGCAATAACAAATCTGTCTTTTATCAGAGGTAACGTCATCTAAAACTAGCTGCTATTCGATTTTGTGCTTAATTCGTTGTGCTTTTAACGCACATTTTTGAACGGTGTTTGTAAATACTTGACTCGAGTGCGGATATATGGAGACTAGGTACCGTACATATTTGAATAATTTCATTAGCATACATTACGTGAACATTATTACAATGACTTAGAACGAGACTGTGGACTGCTCTAACATACATTCTGTGAGGTAGTCCATCTAGAGCACCTGTGCGAATAGCACCTGAACGAATAGCACCCAGCCTAGTCCACGAAGGGCACCTATCAAAATAATTGGCAGGTGCTCTTCGTGGATTCAAATTTGTTTTATGTATTTATCCACGAAGGGCACCTACGATTCGAACCGTAGTGCTGGGATATATACATCCGTATTTGGTAAGCAGGACGTTAAATAAAAGACATATAAAAAAAATCATATGAATATTAATAATTTATATTACACAAACAGTACCTACCGTACAGCGCTGACGGCAATTTTGAAAGCCACCTGGGGTCTCTCTTTTCTAACGGCCATAATAGGTGATAGATAGGTAATAGATAAAACTACTCCTAGGCCAGCTTTTAGCCTCGATTTACAACTGAATGTCAGTGTAGAGTGGGAATCTTCTATCACGGGCCGCCACCTATATCAGTTCTTCCCATCCGTGCATGAGCGGGTGGAGGTGCATCACTGTGTTGGCCAAATTCTTCCTGGCCACAGCAACTTTAAAAGCAAGTTGTTCTTATTTTAACTTGGTGATTCAACATGATGCCAATGTTTGACAGTGGAGTTGCAAAATGAGCAGTCCTTCCATTACATACTCTGGGAGTGTGATCTCTGGCAATATGAAGGTAAAATAATTTATTTGTTTCGTCAGGTGTAGCTTATTATACGGATCTCGTGGAATCTAGAACAAATTTCCATGCGTTTAGGCGCTCTTGCCACACCTATTATTGGAAGCAAGTATAACAGCTCACACATAGGACCCACTTAGTTTCCGTCCTTCCGTGGTGCTCTTATAATTAATATATTTTGAATTATTTTGTTGCGGGAACCAAGACAGTTATTCATGTCCCTGGGACGCGCCGGACTTCAGTGTGCCGGTGTTTTCATGGTTGTATCTACTGTAGAACCTGGCTTACAGGAGTTGCAGCGGTTTAAGGAGGTTGTAGCGGGCTTGTCTCATAAATCAGTACCTATCATAATAAAAATAAATCTTAAAATCTCAACTTTTCGATACAGTGCCCTAGAGAAATAATGCCATTTTCGTATTCTTCTATTATACTATTTATTAATTTATTTTTTATTTTGGCAATTTTTTGAGATCGTGATGTGTCAATTTTTTTCCGTACTTCAGCATAATTTTTGCTATTGTCTTTTAAGACCCTTAAAACACTGCAAATGTTCTTATTATTTTTGTTTATAGCTTTATTTATAGCTGAATAATGCGTCTCAGCATAATTATTGGTTTTGTGAATTTGACCGTAACAGCACCATTTGTTTGACCACAATTTGTGGTCAATCCACTGGCTAACCATATAATCATTGAATGCTGTCACTTTGTCATCTTGGGGACTCTCACCCATTATATATAGCCAAGCATCGTCTAAGTCATTCGGTGGCAAATAAGGAAGAACAGTGCATAGAGCAACGTGCTTTCTGAAAATACAATTTTTATTGAGGCCTAGCTCTTTACCTCTCTTTAGTAGCGCCTTTTTGAAATGGAAGTAACACCCTTTTACTGCGACTTTGGGAAATACAGATAGAATTCCTCTAACTGCAGCTTCTTCAAAGTCACATGTAAAAAAATCTATAGACATGTCTGGTATCGTGGATTTCAATAATTGAAATAGTAATTTGTATGTAGACATTTTTTTGTTCAGAAGCATAGCATATGCTAACGGCTTAACGATACCCCCGACATCACCATGAATGCTGTAAATCTGAAGGAAAGGTTTTGGTGCAGATCTAAAAGTCCCATCACAATAGAGATGGCGTGTTATGGCAAGTTCTTCTTTGCTTCTTGCCGTGGCAAATAGAAGTATTCTATTTTTACCATCGCAGAAGTCAGCCAACAGGAAGTCCAGATATTGTTTGGGTACCTTGAAATAAATATATAATTTGAAAAATGATTCAAATATAAACAAACTCTTGGACAGATGCGTAGGTTTGCGTAGGTTGACTCGACAGATTCAAAGTTCAAAAAATCATTTCATCACTTTCAATCTCAAAAACTGTCGTGGTGGCTCAGAGGTTTAAGACGCCTGCTTCTCATGCATGAGGGTGTGGGTTCGAAACCTACCAACGCCAAGTACCAATGTGACTTTCCGAGTTATATGTACTTTCTAAGATTATTCAGACACCACTGACAAACGGTGAAGGAAAAACATCGTGAGGAAACCTGGGCTTATAATTTCTAATTATAAGTATGAAATCGCCAACCCGCATTGAGCAAGCGTGGTGATTAATGCTCTAACCTTCTCCGTGTGAGAAGAGGCTTTGCTCAGCAGTGGGCATTTATAGGCTGTTGATGATGAATCTCAAAAAGATATCTTTATACATATAAATCTTCTGTGAGTGTGTATGTCACTGAACTTCTCTCATACGACTGAACCGATTTTGATGAAATTTTTTGTGTATTCAAGGGGATCTGGGAATGGTTTAGATTCACAAATCAGCCCGGCAGATGGCGCTGCAGTCGATGTTTAGGTTATTTATCCTAAACAGCTGAACTAATTTGAATGAATTTTTGTTTATACATTCAAGTGGATATGCAGGACAACGTCTGTTGGGTCCGCTAGTATAGGTACTATATATATATCTGAAATTGTCATAATTATAATGGTCGGTGAAATGACTTCTAGATTAAAAATTAAAAGTACTAACTTGTACATCACCCGCGGTTTTCGCACACAGGCGGCGAACTCCACAAGTCCTATTTCGTTGGTTATATAGACTAGATTTTATAGTCTTGTAATCTGGGCAAGGAGCTACCAAGTTGAGCCCTTGATCGAGTAATTTATTAATTTTATTTTTATATAACGATGGGATAGGACCATCAGTGGCTGCAGCTTCTTTTTTAGTTCGTCCACCGCTTTGGTTACTTCAGCCTGGGCACTGTTCATAGGCTCACACATATGCTCTGTTATTTTTATAATATCTTCATTAGCATTGATCGTCAGGAACCCTCTGCAAGATTTTGTCAAGCACCGCCACAACAAATTACCAGAACTTTTGTATTTCTTAAACTTTCTATATTGTCTATTTTCATAAATTAGTATAGGGGCTCCTTTTCTACTGGAAATGTAGCTAATAGCTGTATTTTGATAACTAAGACCGGGAATAGGCTCCATTGTTATAGTTTAATAAACATTAAATCAAAAAAACTTACCATACATTATGTGACAATGTCACATAATTAGTATTTGTTGATTTTCTAACCTTGACAGATTCGTTTTACAAAAATACTGAAGATATTGAAGAAAAGAGGTTTAATTAAGAGTATTAATACAAGAGAGGCAATCAATATGGTGAATAATGTCTACTTTTATAACCCCTCCACTGTCGATGCCGTAGACATTTTCCACGATACCAGACATGTCTATAGATTTTTTACAAGTGACTTTGAAGAAGCTGCAGTTAGAGGAATTCTATCTGTATTTCCCAAAGTCGCAGTAAAAGGGTGTTACTTCCATTTCAAAAAGGCGCTACTAAAGAGAGGTAAAGAGTTAGGCCTCAATAAAAATAGTATTTTCAGACAGGTGCCCCGTAGCACACGCATCCCAGGTAGGTTGCTTGGTATATGGTCCTGAGCATAAGAAAAGGGAGACCCATGGTGGATTTCGAAATTAGCGTCAGCGCTCTAGGGTAGGTACTGGTTGTGTAATATAAATTATTAATGCATATGTATTATTTTCGATATTTTTTATTTAACGTCCTGCTTACCAAATACGGATGTATATATCACAGCACTACGGTTCTGAATCGTAGGTGCCCTTCGTGGATAAATACATACAAACAAATTTGCATCCACGAAGAGCACCTGCCAATTATTTTGATAGGTGCCCTTCGTGGACTAGGCTGGGTGCTATTCGTTCAGGTGCTATTCGCACAGGTGCTCTAAATGGACTACCTCCATTCTGTAAATATGATTTATTTAAATATTTTGTAGAAATATACGCACTAGAGTTATATTATTTGGTATTTTCACACTTATCATGAGAACAACTAAAGATGTATCAAATTGATTTCCCTCGGGCGTGTTTCAATATTACTATAGAGCAATTACATTAATGAAAATGTGTTGAAATTTTTCGCATTACTAATTCATATTCATGTGTAAATAGATATACAAGTATACATTATGATAATTGGTTATATACGTGCAGATGACTGCAAAAATTTGTGGTCAAAGTAATTCCACGGAACATCACACGACTTTTATTTAAACATCAATTTGATACATCGATATAATTCACTATAATAATAACGATAGCACACGAATCCACGGTCTCTTACATATACCAGTTTCAAGCTAAATATCTTAAATCTATAAATAAAAGCGACAAGACAGACATTCAGACAAATCTAAACAAACCCGAGAGCTAACTTGAACACATACATCGCCTTCTCTCAGCTTTGATGTCCATTGAATAGTCACAGACAATCTCTCACAAATAGTTTCATTATAGGGAAGTAATGTATTGAAGACAGATGACTATGAACTGGATTGGAAGACTTGAGCAATCAAGATGGAATACATACGAAGAAGCTGAATATAATTAGTAAAGTAATCTTCTTCGCGAATGGTATCGTGTTAGAAATATATCGAAGACATTGAATTATGAATTATTTACGAGAGGAATGAGATAGAATAAACAGACGTGGTGAAATGTATTTGTAAGGAGCTGCATCATTGTCACGCTTATCTTGCTTCGAGTTCATATCTCGCTTTATCTTTCGATCACTCAGTACTCCGTCGTTATCTACGCGTCATCCTATAACATCTATGTACATGTACAGTTCTACAAACAAAACTCAGTACTTAAGTTACTGTATTACATTCGTTGTCCGCAATTATTGCCATTATTGTTCTGACTTACACCTGACTAGTTACATCATTGGTACACGTATTAACTCTATCGGTTTTACTAGTTTCAACTAATCTCTGTTCGATTATTGCTAGCTTCACAATACATTTTTGTCACTTATCCGACATCTAATATGAAATGGTTACCTTGAATTTGAATGTCTTCGAGATATTTCGTGAGTGAGTGAGTTTAGTAGATGAATGCGGGGTGCAGCGGCGGCGGTGGTACCCTGGGCTGCTTGTCCAGGGGAGCACAGCACGAGGGCTCGCAGCACGGGGTGCTGTACGGAGCTGGTACCAGGGCATACTGAGCTGGGGGCCCGTAGATCGCTGGCGTGGCTGGAGCAGATAATAGTGATCATGAACTTTTATTGAATCTTTTATTATGTGGTTCAAATATTCTACTATATCGTTCAAAGATAGAGCAAAAACTAGAAAATATTATATTCTGATCTGTACTGGAATCGAATCAAAAATCTAATCATTGACACATCCTTGGATTCACGACACAATCTTGCCAATACAATAAGTCAAACTCGCAATCAAGATTACGTTCAGTCGACCAATTCTGTGGGCCATAACTCATACTTACTGTCAAATGGCAGGGGATAGACGGCATATGGCGGTGGGGGCAGTTCGCAGGGGGCGCAGGGCTGCAGTGGTGCCAGGGGAGGGGCACACAGAAGCTGGTAGCACAGCGGAGCCTGCAGGGGAGCTGCTTCTGTGCCCAGCACCGGGAGCTGGCTCATCTGGAATTAGAGTACAAGTATATAGATAATGATGATCAAAGAAAAGACGCAGTTTAGGTAATTTCAGAAGCAAGTCAAACTTTTGAGAGTGAATTGTTGGAAGATAAAAAAGTAACCAATTGCGTTATTGACCAATATAAAAGTAGAAAAATCAAAGGAATATTCACGGATTCTACCTGAATGGTATCTTTATTGTCACGTACTGTAGTATTACTCCTTTGGAATTAAGTATTTCCTACTATTTAGTCCTTCATTTTACTTACCTGTGATGATAGATTATCACCCACAAGGTACATACATTAACTCTGGATATGGAAATTCAAAATGCTCTATTTTCACATCAATATTAAAGTTTTAATCACAGTGTTTGAACCCAGGAAATATAAACCATTCAACTAACTCCATGAACCAAATAATTCTATAACCATTCTCAAACCGACACCCCTTTCACTCAATTTCAATAATTGGGCCATCAACGTCATTTTTCCTTTTGAAAGGAATATCGTTCGTTCATGCTAATTATCTTTCTAAGTAATTAATATTCACCTGTTTTCTGACAGCCTGTGCCACTCGGAGTCGTCCCAGCGGCGAGAACATCACTCCGCCACTCTGGAATGAGACACGGGATTATAACGTCATCTCTTAAGAAATGTTATTAATGACTCCTTCGGGAGACGGGATTATGTCATATCTTATGACATGTAGAAGAGTGTGATGGATTAAGCATTTTTAATCTTATGTTATTACTGTGGCTGTTTTAGTGTTACGAAGATTAAGGCTTTTTTGGTGTTGTTTTTTTAAAAGAGAGTAACGTTCTAATTTTGCCTGAACACAATCCGAAAATAGTACAAAGGACATAATTAGAACCATCTATGGCGGTCTTTGTTACCCATTATTCATTTATACCATCAAAGTAACCTTTAGATTTTCCCCGTAACAAGCAAACAAACACAGACAAAAGGATTCCGAAATGTTTTGTTAAAATCCCGAAAAGGTCTGAGGGGTCTGGATCAGAACCCATTATTGAAATAACAAGGTTTGCAAGACCATGATTAGATGGTTCGTGACATACTGCCCCAGTAGGATGACAAAACTCTACCCTTTTAAGATGAACGACCGTGCAGTTCCGGATAAACGCCATCCATAAATAAATAGGGTTCGCCTAAAATTAGGGCCCTCCCAAATGTTTGGGGTTTGAGGTCCCACGGACGTTTTGCAAGTATAATTTGTTACAAAAACATTGTCTACAAGACCTTTCTTGAACTATGGCTGGTAATTGGTATATCTCAGAAACAGATTAAGGCGTTGCTCATGCTAATCGGAGTCAGACTGTACAAAGAAAGTTGTGCTTAGTTCTAAAGTTCAGCCGTTAAAAGGTCATGAGTTCATTTAATTTCGGAACGAAGTGTTTTAATGGCAATTATACAGATATCATCAATTTATTGGAAGATGGTATCATTCGTTGACAATAAATAAATAACCTTAATTCACAACCAATCGATCTTGTTCATTTTATTCCATCAATACAATTCATAAAAGTGTATATGGTAGTACCATAATCAAAATAACAATCACCATATCATTCACATTCAAAAACCCATGAAAGCAAACGAATCAAAATTCATAACATCAAGCGAAACCCATTTACAAAGCCCACAGCCCACACACCTCTTTATACTCCATTATTGGCCTTAAGTACACCGTGCCCTATAACATTACCCTCGAAATCTACTATTTAGGTCGAAAACCATTCGCAAAGTTCCGGTCAACAAAATTCATGATCAAAAATGCCAAATCATGGACAGGGGAAAGCACTTCCACCAGTTTCGAACCCTTTGTCATGCAACCCAAGGTCACCAGGTAGAATATGAACGCGAGACAATAAATAAAGCCTGTGTCGATATTTTTTTGTTACATTTTAGTGGAAATGGAGAGAGGTTATCGTCAGGGGCCCTGCGAAATTTAGGGGCACAATGTAACGACTGTGATGGGCTGATATTGGACGCTGAATTGTTTTTATTGAGTGCTACATAGATGGAAAAGAAACATAATTTATTGGCAGTTTGGGAGGCTGGGGAACAATGTACGGAGTGAGCGTAGCACATAAAAATTTATTATTTTTATGTTAGTTTAAATGAAAGAGTGCCTTGTTATTGTAGTTTTCGTGAATGTAATAGTTCAGCATTGCTTAGTTATTGGATTATGAAGGTTTATAGATATTTAAGTGATATCTTTGAAGATATTTTTTGTAAAAAACAGCATGATATCATAATAAGCACCATATAGAAATAAAAAACACACAGATTATAATGAAAGTGTTTTCCTGTGTAATCAAACAGAAACGTCTGCACAAAAGTGTAGATGTCGACCCCAAATCACAAAAGATTTGGCGCAATCCCCCTTTTAATTAATTGACCCATAGATTAAGCGTAAAATTGGGATGTCGGCAACATCGCCATCATTTATACCTTCACTTTGAACAGATATTCAATTAGATTCAAACTTAATTAAATAATTGCAGAGAGAAAATTTCTGATGATGTCTAATTTAAAAAGATTATATGGGAACTAACTTGATAAAAATTCGAAGCCTATCTGCTCATCAACAGCCTATAATTAAGTGGCAACAGCTGACCAAAAACCTCTTCTCACACGGAGAAGATTTGAGTATTAAGCACCTCGCTTGCTCAATGCAGGTTGGCGATTTCAAACTTATAAATAGAAATTATAAGCCTAGGTTTCCTCACGATGTTTTCCTTCACCGTTTGTCAGTGGTGTCAAGATAATCTTAGAAAGTACATATAACTCGGAAAAAATCACATTGTTACTTGCCGTTGGTAGGTTTCGAACCCTTGAGTTGAGGGTGCCCTCATGCATGAGCAGCCAATTACACTTTTTTTATAGCATAAGCCAGTAAACGAGCATACGGATCACATAATGGTAAGCAATCGGCGTCGCCCATGGACACTCGAAACACCAAGGCGTTACAAGTGCGTTACCAGCCTTTTGGGAATTGGGAATTTGAGGATTGTGGAGGATACGGGGATTCGGGAGACGGGGACTAGGGAGGGGGGTAATTTGGCCTCCGGCAACCTCACTCATAGGACGAAACACAACGCAAGCGTTGTTTCACGTCGGTTTTCCGTGAGGCCGTGGCATCACTCCGGTCGAGCCGGCCCATTCGTGCCGAAGCATGGCTCTCCGACACTTAAGTGTTACAAGTCTTAAACCACTGCAACCACCGCCTATCTATTTTTTCAGACCAAAACCCTGTTTCAAATCTCATCCCGATCCTTTCAGCCGTTTGGACGCGATTGAGTAATAAACATACGAACATACACACAAAATTTCGCATTTATAATATTAGTAAGATCATTATAATCATCTATGCCTTCACTTTGAATAGAATATTCAATTAGAATTAAACGTAATGAAATAATCGCAGAGAAAATGTATCCAAAGATGTCTATGTCGAAGATTATTTCGGGAATTTGGAAGTAACAGCTTACGTTCATAACTTATTCTGGGAAATAACAAGGGCAGAAATGTCTAACGGTGGTACAGTATTGATTTTTATTAAGATACACTTCAATATCTGACCTCGTTTCCATGATTTGTTCCGCAAAAGATTGTTACGATTCTTGAGAACCTCCGTAATTATACAGCAAGATAATAATGTATCTCCCGTTTTCATTTACATTTGTCTTCGTTTTTCATCTTTTGGATTTGATTTTAAGAGGGCGCTTGTGTACTGTTGGATTCATTAGCGAAGGATTTGTTTTTACATTTTGTTTCATTAATAAACATGTTTGTATTGTGACTATTATTTTTGGTTTGATTGGTATTGTATTGTTTTAATTTGTAAATGATGATGTAAATAAGTATTGAGTTGTTAAGTAAATCAGCTGACAGTCGGAATCGAACCCGAGACCCCTTGCTCAGGCACTTATAACCACGCGGCCATCGATATAGACATCATCATCTGTTTCTATCCTCAAAATCATGCTCATTTTAATAACAGTGAACACGTGTAACACAAAAAGAAACAAAGTTTTCCATCAGAATAGAATACTTTCCAAAAACTCACAAATGAACGTGAAAAACCTCAAACTGAACACTCCCAAAGAAACACCATAACAAAGAGAGAAGAACTCTTCAGCAGATCCTAAAAAACTTTTACAAATAAAAAATATTCATGTGAGTATGAAGTATGGCATCAAACTGTCAAAGTATACATTGTATTACATGTAATACACCCTGGGAATCTTCACTAGAACTGTGTAACAATAAACCACTGCGCCATAAATCCATAGGACTTTTTTATCCTTGGTCCTGTGAATCTAATATAAAAAACGATGAAGAAACCTGGAGATACGATGTTGAAAGAAGGATGGCATAATGTTATAAGAAAAAATATTAATGTATAATTGTAATTGAGATGATGACAGGGTATGAAAATTAAAAATCTAATAAGTCCGTAAGTTAGGTAATGAAAGAATATTAGAAACGTATTTTTTTATTTTGTCGTATAATAAAACAATACTTAGATAAAACATATCAATGTTTAGGAGTGGGGGCTAAAACGTCATTTCTACGATTTCTACGTATAAAATGTACATTAAAGTGACGTCACGCGACATTTCAAATCAATGTACCGTCGAAAGTATTCGTTTCTGTAAAAAAATAAAAAATACGTGTCTAATGTTTTAAAATAATCTACCGGACTAGACGGACATAAAAATAAAAATAAGGCATCTACCCTATTAGACAGATTTTAAAAAATATTTCACTGTTGGAGAGCTGTTAGAGGCTCCAGCACTCATAAGGGAAAATGACAGATGGAAAGCTAAATAATCAAACAAAAGTCCCCATGCTGGTTTTGAAACAGATATCTTTTGTTCACAATTATCTCACTGTCGTTTTCTCTGTTCTTTCCATTACACGATTTTAATTATCGTAGAAAGATGTTCTCTACGGCAATTCTCTTGAGTCGAAAACCGTACAGGCGTATAATGATTCGATCTGGTTGCTAATTCTAAAAGTAGGGAGGTGTATTCCCCGGAGGTGTTCACAGTTTCGCTTTTGGCTTGTTGTATTATTAGTCCCAGTTTAATAGTGAACAAGCCTATTGCCATACACCGTCGTATTGCAGACTTTTTATTTATAAACATTGCAATCGATGGACATAGAAATACATTGACCGATCAAAGAATAGAATATGAAACAAAGTTTATAAAACTAAACCTTTAGCATACTGGAAGGTTAGAAAGAAAGCAGATAGCAACATAACACCATTCCTTTTATCGCCCAAGGGGTAGGCAGAGGTGCACTTTACGGCACTTAATGCCACTGTACAATGTAATACCCACCTTTCACTATTTATGTTATGAGTCCCAAGTAATAGGGGGCGCACCTATTGCCGAATACCGAGCACAATTTCAGACTCGGTGTTACTCCTAAGGATTAAAAAAACCACCTAGTAGTCATTGCCAATACATTGCCCGACCCGGGAGTCAAACTCGAGACCGCTTGTTCGACAAGTCACACTTTGCGACCACTCGGCCAACGAGGCGGCCAAAGAAAGCAGGTGACATAAGAAAAGTCCTATTTAAAATGTATAATTATAAATAAACACCTACCTACCCCAGAATACCTATTAAAATTATCGTTACATTATTTTTTGGAACGGAACCTCCGAACGGCTCTCCACGAAAAGGTCAACGCTTCCCTTTGTTACAAGAATATTCGAGAAAAAGTCTTTTCAAAAATCGTATTTTTTTCTTACAATTTCACGGAAAGGATTCTTGATACTTATAAAGATAATACTTTACTTTGTCATTGAAACGATGTCGTGAAAATACTGAAATATTTGCCGTAATGTTATTAATAAATTGTTACTGGTTTTAGCGGGTCAAAGGTTAACAGCCGACATTAGGATGCTACCTATTATTGTGTTGTGTAATGTTTATTTTAAGCTGCTTCGATAAAGGGACGGGTTTTTAAATACTTTTGTGATGTCGTTTTTATGGCAGAAAGGGAGCGAGTGGACAGATTACCAGATGGTAAGGGATTAGGCCTTGGACACCCGCAACACCTGAGAAGTTACAAGTGGGGTGATTTGAGTCTTTTACCTTGAGATAAATGCAATAGATTATGATGATGATGAACTATTTATTTTGCGAATGAATAACTAGATACATTCCCCTTACGAAGCATAGGAGCTTTATACTTAGTTATGTTATGCCTAAAACATACGACATGTAATTTGTCTCAGTCGTATCTCAGCTCTAGTAAGGATGAGCGTGACATATTCTCTAGCTTAGAAGCTATGACATAACTGAAAATAACATCACACCTTTCTATGACCAGAAGACGTAGACAGAAGTGCACAATATATACGCCAGTTATAGATCTTATTTAATTAGGGGCGAGTCCACATATTTTTTTTATATATCATAAACCGGTAAACGAGCAGACGAATCACCTGATGGTAAGCAATCAGCGCCGCCTGAAACACTAAGGCGTTACAAGTGCGTTACCAGCCTTTTGTAGATACGGGGATTCGGGAGACTAGGAAGGGGGGTAATTAGGCCTCCGGTAACTTCACTCACACGACGAATCACAACGCAAGCGTTGTTTCATGTCGGGTTTTTATTAGACTGTGGTATCACTCCGGTCGAACTG